AAGATGAAAATCAAATTGATTATTATTGGCAATCCTGATTTTTGTGGACCTACTTTGCTGCTGAATAATTATCTTCATAATGCAGACCAACCCTTGACCATTTACAGAGCAAAACTTTCCAGTTTGTTCTATTACATTGAGTGTCTTTCATAATATCTTGCCAGCTCTGAGGATTTAGAGCACACCCCCTACAGGAAAATCCACTTCCCTCCCTGACTAATGGTAAGAGCCCCAAGTTTCTGAGGAGGTTGGGCAGGGCTGAGTGCATCAGTGTGAGTTTGAGAATTAAGGCCCTTGAAGAACTGATTATATTTCTTGTATGGACCACCTGTTCCTCTTTATCCTTTTTGTCTAAAGCTGTTTTTGCTTTATGATAACGAGTGTTTGCCTGCATTTACACATGTGCACTGACTGCATTGAGCACACGCAGACCAGAACTGAAGTCACAGGACATTGTGAGCTGCCATGCTGCTGGTTTTACTTGTCCCTCCAGGTCCCGCTGCCATTTAGCCCCAATTGAACATACACACAGTGCAGTAATTATAAAATTGTTCGTCAATGCTTGGGCTTATTGGCTAGCTCTGTCTTAATTATTAACCCATTTCTACAAATTGAAGTATTTCCATGTGGTCCTATCTTACTGGAGAAGGGTTCTGGACCTGTAACTCCTTCCTTGACTACATGGTGTCTCTTTTCTGCGCCTCTCTGCCTACCTTTCCCAGAATTCTCCTTGTCTCCTAGCCCCGCCTATCTTCCTGCCTGTACTGGCTATTGGCCAAACAATGTTTTATTCATCAGCCAATAAGAGAAACCTATATACAGAAGGATGTCCCCCCATCACTGCCACATGGCTGTTGGAACCAAATCATGTTTCTCTAGAAAAGTAGCAAGTACTCTTGACACTGAGCCATCTCTCCAGCCCCTCATCTTTGATTTTTCCCCCAATGTGTAGTCTTTTTAAAATCAACTGGAGAGAACACTTTATTTGTTGAGGCAGGGTTTCTCTGTGTAGCTCTGACTGTTCCAGAATTCACTCCATAGGCCAGGCTGTCCTTGAACTCACAGAGATCCACCTGCCTCTGCCTCCCAAGTGCTGGGACTAAAGTCCTGCACCACCACCTCCAGACTGAGAGAATACATTTTTATAATCAACATTTTAACTTTTGTTACAAATATTTCCCCCAGTTTGTCATTCTCTTTTTGACCTTGTTTACAGTGGTTTTGTTTTTTTGGTCTAATTGCCACGCAGAATTACTTTATTAGTATTTTTGTTGAATTAATATTTTCCATAGCTTTCTAAAGCAGTGGTTCTCAACCTTCCTAATGTTGTGACCCTTTAATACAATTCCTCATGTTGTGGTGACCCCCAACCATAAAATCCCTTCATTGTTACATCATAACTATAATTTTGCTACTGTAAAGAATCATAATATAAATATGTTTTCTGATGGTCTTGTGTAAAATGGTAGTTTGACACCCCACCCAAAGGGGGTGAGACCCACAGGTTTAGAACCACTGTTCTAGAGGTTTTTTGTAATGCTTAGACTTTCATGGATTGGAAAGATGACTCAACAGTTTAAGATCGCTGACTGCTCTTCCAGAAGACCCTGACTTGATTCTCAGACCCACACTTGCTCACAACTGTCTAGCGCCAATTCCAGGGGACCTAATGCCATCTACTGATAGCCTCGGGCACCAGACATGCACATGGTTCACATACGTACACTCAAGCAAAGCACCCAACACATAAAAAACACCTTAAGAATGGGGGAGGGGCTTCTTTGCTCAGATATGTTAAACTCTTGGAAATCCGATGCTTTCCCGGCTTCATTTTAAAAGGTTAAATAGGGCTCCATCTAGAACTCATTCACACAGGAAGGGAGGAAGGGTACAAGGGTACGGTTCTTTGTCTTCGTCTGTTTGGACTGCAGTAACAAAATGCCCTAGACCTTGTGACTTAAACTACATCTTCTAAAACTGTCACCAGCTATGTAATGTCCCATAATTGAAAGTGGGGGGTTCACAAAAACTTGGCAACTAGACTTCTGAATGCACACCCAAACAAAACTCTATTCAAAAATCAGCTGTGCCGGGCACCTGAATGTTTGAGGCAGCACTCACCCAGCTTGTATCACATGACAGCACTGCAGCCTTGGTTCAGAACACACCACGTGACCACTTTGCCCTCAGCCACAGGGCACCAGTGAAGGCTTCCTGTTAGCCCCTCAGAATTGAGACTCTTATACTATGAGCATTTTTACTGTTTATACAAAATTTCTGACTTTTACAGAACATAATAGTTGGAACACACAGCATGGAAGATATCAAGTAATCTTTGAATTATATTGTGTTCAAATGTTTGATTTTAAAAGCTGCTGTTTGACTAAAAAAATCACTAATTGAATTTAGGCCTGGGATTAAGAGAATTTCCAACAATTTCCTAAACATATTTCTGCCATTTTGTTTTATGTATTTATGCAAAATGGCATTCTTCACATTGACAATTATAAAATCAAAATATCAGTCAATTCTGAAATACCTGGTGACAACACTCTATGTCCTGCAGTATAAACATTTAGCCAAGATTTCACCTCAATGTAAAACAAGCACTTCCATCTCGGTATAGTATGCACATTTTCCTCCATCTTTAATAAGTAGGAAATAGATGTGTCTATGAAAGAAATTTTATCATAAGCTTTATGATATATTATCAGTAAATATTTTACTTGTATCCCTGTTTTACGTGCCCATACCCTGGGGTTAAGTAAATATTTCTCCAGTGAAAACATTTTAAAAGGTGTTGGCTTAAACAGCCAACATTTGTTTCTCAAAATTCTTAGAAGTCCACGACGAACGCACTAACAGATCTTTTATCTGGTGAAGTCCTGCTTCCTAGCTTTTATGCTGTCTTCACACAAGAGAAGGAGGGTGCAGCAACAAGGGGAGAAAATGAGAAAGAATGAATAAGGATGACTTTTTGTTTTTCGAGACAGGGTTTCTCTGTGGCTTTGGAGGCGTCCTGGAACTCGGTAGACCAGGCTGGTCTCGAACTCACAGAGATCTGCCTGCCTCTGCCTCCCAAGTGCTGGGATTTGGGCACCACAACCACTCGGCAGATGATTTTTTTTTTTTAATGCAATTGAGTATTTGTGTCTGGAACTCCAAGGATAGACCTAGACTGGAGACAAAAATGCAGAAGCCATCGGGGCACAGGTGTCGAGGCCATGAGAAGGGACGAGGACATGGAAAGTGACGGACAGGAAGAGAAGGAGCGGAGGGCACACATGGGAGAGCATTAATGGACAGGGATCAGGCAGGAAGAGGAATCAGTCCAGCAGACAGAGTGGGAAGCCACAGGGAAGGTAGAGAGTGCCAGAGAGGAGCGTTGTCATGGAAACAGCGCTGTGTTTTAAGAAGTGGCTAACCACCAATGCCATTTACCAAGACAAAAGGGCTGGGCAGTACAAGAACGGTTTCCATGGAATTGGAATCCAGCTGAATAAAACAGAAAGGAAAGAATCTGAATTCCGAAAGTTAAAACAGGGCAAAGAGATATGAAAACAACTAATCCTCAAGAAACGTGATTACAGCCACGAGTCGGGAGTGGCGCCTACCTTTAATCCCGGTACTCAGGAGGCAGAGGCAGTTGGGTCTCTGAGTTCCAAAACAGCCAGGGCTATTCAGAGAAACACTGCTTCAAAACAAAAAAAAAACAATGAAAAGAAATAAGACTATGAAGAAATAAACAAGAAGTGATGAAGACCTCTTGCTGTACCTCGCCAACACTTTGCTGCCCTTTAGTGACTTGCCCAATCACCCTTCTAACAGTTAAAAAGGTATCACTTTTAAACAGATTTCTATAATTTAGTGGGGTTCTAAGTGGAAGGAGAAGTCACCCAAGCTGCCCAGAAGTCTGTATCACGTATATCCACCATGTCATGAAGTTCTTACTACAGACGAGAAACTGAGGCCCAGGGGCACAACAGGCCAAGGTCACTCACTCTGCTGATGAGTGATGCAGCTGGGACTCACACCCGAATGTGTCTGCTTACAAAGCATGGACCCTTTGCACCCCCACCCACCTAGACAGAATACAGAACGCAACACATAGGGAACAGGAAGCAAGAGGAATTGGAAGTTAAAAGAAAAGCCCGTGTCTTGTACACTTCCGATGCATGCTAATTAAGCTCCCCTTCCTTAATTACTCAAGTCTTTTACCTGGTTCATAAAGCTTTTGTTAAGCAAGCTGAATGTCGGCAAAAAGCCTGAGGTTTGCCGATGCTGGCACAGGAAGGCATCAGAGTACCACCTCCCACAAAGTCCCTTAATTTCCTTGCACTGTGCTATGACACCGTGACCAAAAACAACTCGGGAGAGAAGAAGTCTTACTGGCTCACTCTGCACATCACGACCTGTCACCAGTGGAAGTCAGGCCTTATACTCAAGCGGAACCTGGAGGCAGGAATCGAAAGAAGAGACTATGGAGAGATGCTGTTTCCTGGCCTGCTCTCCATTGCTTGTTCAGCCTTTACATTTTTTAAACAACCCAGGATTACCTGCCCAGGGTAGCCCTGACCCACAGCATACTAGGCCCTCCCCTATCAATTAAGAAAATGCACCACAGACTTGCCTACAGACCAGTTTGATGGAAGCGACTCCTGCTCTCAGGAGACTCTAACTTGTGACAAAAATTAACCTGCACAGTCCACCAACTCTTTGTCAATTTGATACACAAATAACATCACTATTAAACCATAAATTTTCCTCTCTTGTTTGTCCACAAGCTCACGGTAATATTAATATCACAATATAAAAATGCAGCACAATTTTAAAGTTCAATGTCTCTTTAAAATATTTGGTCTCTTATTTCACAGATACACACGCAGTTAAAACAAGAAGTTCTTATGCTAAGCGAGAAGAACCAGGCCATAGTCATAGATCAAAGCAAACCCAAAACCTAACCGTGTAAATAACTCAAGTGTCCAGCGTGTGGAACTTACCATCTTCTGGAGTCCAAAGGATTTGGGCAGCTCCCCATCTGCAACACACACAGCTTGTAGTCCAGGCTTAGGTCCGCTCCACACCACATCTGCTGCTGTCCTTGGCAGTTTTCCTATTATTCTTGCATCTCAAATATCCTGGGGTTTCCACTGCAACTGAGTTTGCACCTTCACCAGGGGCCTCTCTCAGTGCCAAACCCCCTTTGCGCTCCATGACTGCTTCATGGCTTCACAGCCAACAACATGTGGGAGACTCTACCCCTTATTTGCCAGATTCTGCTGCCAGCTCGATGTACAGCCTGGGCCACCTCCGAACCACGGCATCTGTGTGCTGACCCTGAGGAAACACGCCGGAAGGTTTTCCTCAATAATGAGGCCTCACATTAACCACAGCTGATTCTTCAGCCCCAGCTGACCAGCATCTATCACCCCAGGGAAGCACACATTTCACTTCCGAAGATTCCCAACTCAAAAATCACGTAGATGGCTGTGACGGAGCCTTTGCTTACCTCTGAAACTTCACAAGTCAGTCCTCTGCCATCTGTATTTCTCTCATTCTCATCGCGTTCTTATCGTCCAAGCTCGCACAACCACTCATGAAGCTCTCAGTACTTGCAGCACAGAGTTCCAAATGTTCCCACAATCCTCCTCACAAAACGATATGGTCAGTTCCTCCACACTTGGTCCCAGTTTTCTGTCTATGGCTATGATAAGAACACCACGGCCATAAACCATCCTTGGGGGAGGAAAGGGCTCGTTTGGCTTACACTTCCACATTACAGCCCAACAAGAGAAGCAGGAGGCAGGGATTGAAGCAGAGACCACAGAACAGTATTCCCTACTGGTCTCCTCCCCTTGCTCAGCTCCTTCCTTATACCAAGCATGACCACCTGCCCAGGGTTGGCTCCGCCCACAGTGGGCTGGGCCTTCCCCATCAATTGTTAATCAAGAGAATGTCCCACAGGTGTGCCCACAGGGCCATCTGATGGAAGTAATTCCTCAACTGAATTTCCCTCTTCTCAGATGACTCGAGTTTGTGTCCAGTTTGCAAAAACTAACCAGCAGAAACATATTGATTAATAATGCCTTAATGTATGCTGTTGTTGTGATGGTTATTATTATTTGCTTGGTTTTTGGTTTTGTTCTTTGCTGGTTTGTTTGAGACAGGGTTTCTCTACGTTTCTCTAACTGTCCTGGAACTTTCTATGGAGACCAGGATAGCCTTGAACTCAAAGAGGTCCACCTGCCTCTACTCCCAAGTGCTGGATTTAAGGGCTCGTGACACCACACCTGGCTTCTTAAGGAATGTTTTAAGCATGCCTAACACGAAAGTGATTACTTGTCTATACATGTTTCACCACGTTCAATTAAGTTTAGGAAACTGACGTGTACATTAGAAATCTTCTTAGGATAGCAGGGTTATTAACCTGAAGTTTACTAAAAAGTAGAGTCTTATAGGTAGCGCTAGGAATGAAACCCAAGGTTTTCTGCATGCTAGGTGACCACCATTGAAGTACATCCCCAGCCTCCAGAGAACATCTTACGTGTCCTTACTCTGAGCGTGTGTACACACCTGTCAGATGTGTTAACCAATTTGATTGTAGCAATCGTTTTGTAGCGTATGTGTGCATTTAATCAAACAAGTCGGCACTGTGTACCTCACTCCAAAGGACAGAGGCCATCAGAAGTAGGATCACATGGCCTGTTATTATTTCTATCACCTCTACCTGTAGGTGACAATCATATGTGTTCACCAAAGATCTGCATCTTCTTCTGGTCTTGTGTCCCGGATATGAGACTACAGCTCAGAACCCCCAAATCTAGAACTCCCAGCCCTTGGCTTCTGTAGTCTCTTTGGCAGGGAGGTGGGTAAAATGCCTCTGCCCTTTATAAGATGTGCCCCTCAGCCGGGCGATGGTGGCGCACACCTTTAATCCCAGCACTCGGGAGGCAGAGGCAGGCGCATCTCTGTGAGTTCAAGGCCGGGCTGGACCGACAGCCTCCAAAGCAATACAGAGAAACCCTGTCTCGTAAAACAAAACAAAACAAAAAGATGTGCCCCTCCCCCTCCCCCTGCCCTGCACACACTGACCCAGGGAGAAGAAGTTGTAGCCATAGTAGCATAAGGCTAATGTCTAGTGAGTGCCACAGTGGGTGCTACAATAGAGGAAATGAGTCCTCACAGATGGGTTTGGTGTCAGGAGCTAGGGTGCCCCACCTGGATGGGCAACATCCAAACAGGTACCGAGTGGCCCTGGGACACTGTGAGCAGGCCACTGTCTTGCTCATAAAACCCCTCCTAAACTGGGCGGTGGTGGCGCACGCCTTTAATCCCAGCACTTTACTTGCAGCTGGGAACTGGTAAAATGATTTTGTATTTTCTTGGCTAGGAGGGAATTAATCCTTGAGGCCTTCATAGCCTCGGTTCTTACAGGTATATCAAGTATCTAGCATCCCTGGCTAGTGGAGAGTGTGTACACAATGACCTCCCGCTGAGCTCTGGCTAGTGGAGAGTGTGTACACAATGACCTCCCCCTGAGCTCTGACACCTGATAGGCCCAACTACCCTTTGCAGATCTCCGGAAGTCGGCCGCCTCTCCAGCTGCCATAACTGACATGGATCCCTGCAGGTGTGAGCCTGCTTCGCACTTTATGTTGGCCCACGGCAAAAGCTGTCCCTAGGCAGTGCCTGCTCTTTCCCAGGAGTGCACGGAAGCTGGGACTGTCTCACTGCTTGCCACCCGAGGGAAAGCAGACAGAGAAAGGAGGTGCTGTTGAAACTTTCCAGAAGCTTCTCATGGACTGAGTCACGTGTGCGCTGTTTGCTGTACTCTGCCTCAAGTCAGACCACATTGTGGTCCCCTTGGAATGACAATGGACGAACCAAACTTTGTGGCCCTGGGAACTCCTCAGTTGTTCCCCAGCTACCCTTGATAAAGACACTCAGAGTGACTCACACACAAGCCCAGGATAATTTCTAACCATCAACGCTGACAAACATGAGAACTACGCCTCCTGATTGTGTTGTTTTCTTCACATTTGGCTATGTGTGAGAGCCCTGACCTTCTCAGAGGCCTCCTCACACTAATTACACGTGTGGAATGCTGAAGAGACTCCCTGAGTTTGGAGGCTGAGGGACATGAATGCCACACACTCCCTTGAGTATAAGGTCCTTGGCCGATAGTCTCATCTTTTCCAGGGTCACATGACCTGCCATAGCTTCCATTAAAGAAGGGAAGGGCATAGATTTTGTAACCTCAAAATGTGAGGCTTGGTCCTAAGTATGGAGGAGGAGCTCACGAGCCAGAATCGTATCCAGGGCTGTTGGTACCACTCTGGTGGTATGTCCACATCGGTTTCTGACGTCATCTCCCACACAGTTTATTCCAGCGTGGGAAATCGCTCTCACTGTTTTCTTCAGTCCCTCCTCTGTCAGCCTCTGGCTATTCTGACAACCAGAATCTGGAATAACAGAAGGGGCGTGTTCTACAGGAAGATTTAGGTTGCTGCGCTCTTCAATCCTTAGTCATAGATTGGTGTATCTTGGTGGGGTGGTAACGTCTTTTCTCCCAGGGGCTTACAGTAGAGAAGGCAGCATAGTGGTGAGTGAGAACAACACTGGTTTGCTTAGGCCTCAGTGGTAAGAGCAACAGTCCCAGCTGGGTGTGCAAGAGGTTTGGCTAGAGGCAACGTAGTACATTCTCCTCCATATGCTGTTCCGGGGTCAGGGGTCATAATGGCAATCTCTAGGATCGATGCCTGGGCCTTGTTGTTTCTGACTCCAAAGCCTTCTTTTCTGTTCCCCTATTCCAACTACCAGGTGTCCCACTTGAGAACCATGGGACCTCAAAGGACGGTCTCACCCCCTCATTTTACAGCCAAGTGCCCTTGCTTTGGACCCGACTCAGAGACAAATGCAGAGGGTAAGGCAGAGGTGCCTTCAGGGGTGTGATGTCAGAAGTACACTTCCACTTCGTCTATGGGGTCCTTTGGCCCAGGTTCAAGCCCAGCATGTGGCCCTGAGGAGAGAATCTGGATAGCACAACCCTGAATTCTTCACAGCACAAACAGCCAAGGACCAGAATGGACGAGAAACAGGCCAGTGCTCTTAGAGGACCTCACCAGTGCTCAGCCTCCCTGGGAGACACCCAATCAGCATGATTACTCAGACTTACTGAAGCTCTGACGTCACTGAAGATCCTCAAAGCAATGAACTTCTGAGGAAAAGCTAAAACCCATCTAAACCATCTGGGACTTCTGTCGACGGCATCTTTTTCTACTTCCCTACTATGGGGAAAACACGAGGGCCCGATTCTCTCAGTTTTGAAGTAGTTCATTCTGCATGCATAGTCTCCATCTCTCAGACCTCCACTGCTGCTGGAAGGAGTAGGCACTAGATCCAAGCAGGGCCTCCAAAGCTTGCTGATGGAAAATACAAGTGTTGGGCCTGGCTGGGACTCACACATCAATTGAGCCCTGGAAGACACACCACAAGAAAACCCAGGCTCTATGGACCCGGAAGGGGGTGGTGCTCAGATCACTTGATGAAGGAGATCTTTCACGGAACAGTAGCCCACAGAGATTCCCAGCTCCACTCTTAGTCCCTGCACGGCAAGGGGGCTCTGCAGATGTGATAAGGAAAGGATGGGAGCAATTAAACAGGGTGATCTGGGTGGACACAATGTAGTCACCAGGTCCTCCCAGAAGGAAAAGGGAATACAACTGAAAGGGAGAAGCAATCAGATTTTCCAGAAGCTTCTAGAAAGCCCTGCCAGCATATAGTTTCAGATCTTTGGCCTCCAAAATGGTTAGAGAATGAATGTGTTTTGGTTTAAGCCACTTAAGTTCCTTTGAAATGACTGCATTGAAATAGGAAACTAATACAGAGCTCTCAATGATGAGGAGGAAACCCAGATGGTGAGGTGAATTCCGGATTCCCAGGCCACAGGTCTTCTGGCCCTGGGGGACTCAGCATCCTGAAGGAACAGAAAACCCAAGCAAAGCAGGGTATCCACACCAAGAGTATCCACACCAAGCCCAGAGGCAGGTGGCTCCGCACACAGCTGACTGGGTGACTAGTGATGTCATGGAAGACCTTGGTTCTCGTCATTCTGTGTCTCGCTGTTTTCATCCACAGTGGATGCCGAGGCTTCAGGCATCGTGTCCAGGTACATCATTGCCCACACACAGGAAAAGAAGCCATTTCACCTTTGAGTCTCTTGCAGAGAGTGATGGAAGCTGTATCAGACACCTGTCCTGCTGCTGCTGCTCCCTGCTCAGGCCACAGCCCCCTCCCATCTACTTCTGTGGTTTTACCAGGTCCCACAGGGTCAGTCAATGGACCAGGCAAAGGGAAACTTGATCTCCCACGTGGACTTCTGCTCCATGGTGATGGGAGCAAGCCAACAGAGCCTGTCCCTCCTTGGGTGAGGAACAGCCGCGTGTAGTCCAGCTATCTAGAGTCCAACAAGGATATGCTTGGGTGTCTAAGGAGCCCAGACACACACCAGTAACGTAGATGCTCTGGGAAATGGGTTTGCCTGTTCTTAGCTAAAACAAAAGAGGCTCAAAGGTGCAATGGCTTCTTTGCCTGCACATGGGCAATGATGTACCTGGTGTGCTGTCTGAAGCTTCAGCATCCACACTGCGGATGAGACTCAGAATGACGAGAACCAAGGTCTTTGACGACATCACTAGTCACCCAGCCAGCTAAGTGTGGAG